AACTTCCCTCTCAGGACCGCCTTTGCTGTGTCCCATAGGTTTTGAACAGTTGTCTCTTCATTTTCATTTGTTTCCAGAAATTTTTTAATTTCTTCTCTTATCTCATTATTGACCCATTCATTGTTTAAGAGTGTACTGTTCAGTCTGCATGAGTTTGCAAGGTTTTGACGTTTCTCTTTGAGGTTGATTTCGAGTTTCAAGGCCTTGTGGTCTGAGAAAAAGTTTGGTATTATTTCAATTTTCCTGAATTTGCTGAGGCTTGCTTTGTGTCCTATCATGTGGTCTATCTTTGAAAAACTGCCATGAGCATTTGAAAAGAATGTGTATTTTTCTTCTTTGGGATGTAAGGTTCTATATATGTCAGGTAAGTCTCTTTGATTCAGTGTGTCATTCAGCGCCACGATATGTTTATTAATGTTTTGTTTGGAAGATCTGTCCATTTTTGACAGTGGGGGGTTGAAATCCCCTACTATCATTGTGTTGCTGTCTATATCTTTTTTGAAGTCATCCAACAATTTCCTTATAAACTTGGGGGCTCCTATATTGCGAGCATATAAGTTGACAATGTTGATGTCTTCTTGATAGATTCTTCCTTTAAGTATGATAAAGTGCCCCTCTGGGTCTCTCTTTATGGCCTTTGCTTTGAAATTGACTTTGTCTGATACAAGTATGGCAACGCCAGCCTTTTTCTCATGTCCATTTACTTGGAATATTATTTTCCGTCCCTTTACTTTCAATCTGTGTAGGTCTTTTGCTCTGAGGTGGGTCTCTTGTAGGCAGCATATGTGTGGGTCATGTTTTCTTATCCATTCAGCTACCCTGTGTCTTTTGATTGGGGCATTTAGCCCATTCACATTGAGCGATATCACTGATAGAAACTTACTCATCTTTTCTCTTTGTACTTGTGTTCCTCTCTGTCTCATTCTTTTCCTTCATCTGCTTAAACCAGTCCCCTTAGCATATCTTGGAGAGCTGGCTGGATAGAGATGTATTCTTTTAGCTTTCTTTTGTCTGGGAAACTCCGTATTTCTCCTTCTATATTAATGGAGAGCCTAGCTGGGTAGAGCAGCCTTGGCTGTAGGCCCTTGCTTTTCATGGCTTGGAATATTTGTTGCCATTCCCTTCTGGCTTGTAGTGTTTCTGTTGAGAAGTCAGCTCCTAGGTGTATGGGGGCCCCCTTGTATGTTACTTTCTCCTTCTCCCTTGCTGCCTTGAGGATTCTCTCTTTGTCTTTGACATTTGCCATTTTAATGATGAAGTGTCTTGGAGTGGACCTCCTTGAGTCCCTCTTGAGTGGGGTCCTCTGTGCCTCCTGGATCCATGAGAGCCTTTCTCTCCTCCAATTAGGGAAATTTTCCATCATTACTTTTTCGAGGAGGTTCTCTATTCCTTGCTCCTCTTCTCCTTCTGGTATCCCTATTATAGGGATATTATTGCGTTTCAGGTTGTCCTGCATTTCCCTAAATGCCTCTTCCTTTTTTTGAGCCGTTTTTCCATTTCTTGTTCTTTCTGGGAGCTTCTTTCTACCTTGTCCTCCATCTCACTGATTCGATCCTCGGCTTCATCCAGCCTGCTTTGGATTCTTTCTCCTGTGTTCTTCAATTTAGAAATGGTATTCTTCATATCCTCTTGTGTCTTCTTGATAGTTTCTATGTGCTTTTCCAGGCTGATATAGTTTGCTGTAAGATCCTGATAGTTTCTCTGCAGTTTCTCATAGTTCTCTTTGAGCTGGCTGAGCTCATTGAGCTTCCTTAGAACCATTGTTTTGAATTCCATATCTGATAGTTCCCTTGCCTCTATTTCATTGAGCTCTCTCTGTGGGGAGTCCCCTTTTCCACTGATTTGGGGAGAACTTCTTTTTCTTCCCATTTTGTGAGAGTCTGTTAACTATTTTTGTCCTTTACTTTTCTTTCTGGGCTTGCCTCTGATGCTGTCAGTTATTGACCCTATAGGGCCTTGGGTTGTTTGTTTGAGCCTTTCAGGAGTCTAATGCCTGTGTCTGACTCCTGCTTGGAGCAGCTCTGTGACCCCTTTGGTCAGCGCTGGGCTATTTTTTGGGATCTGTCTGCGCTCTCACGGGGGCTCCTTGAGCGCGTTCCCAGCGCGGCAGGGTCCCCTACCTATGTGGGGTCGCATGTGCTTGCCCCAGGATAGGGGGCTTATTCGCGACCTCCCATATTCATCTGGCCTCCCTGGCACACGAGCTTCGTGGCACTGGTCAGTTTAGGGTCTTCTATTGTGTATTTTCCCCACTTTTGGCTCTTTGGGTGCGTTGCTTGCCCTCGCCAAATGGGGACTATGGAAATGGGAGGAAATCAGCTCTAGGACTCTCCGGTTAATCCTGTTTCTGGTCTCTCCTCCAGGGACTCTGGGCAGCTCTACTTATTTTGTGGGCCGCTCCGCAATCCCGGCGGGTAAGTCAATTTACGCCTGCCCTTGCCCCTCTGTGCACTCCCTCGCAGGCCGTATGGTTGCCAGTCTGTGTGAGGCCTTGCCGGCAGATGCAAGCGTTTGCCAGCCTGCGTGGGTCACACACACGCTCGCCAACCCTCGCCGGTCACTCGGCGCAATTGTGCGCGCCTGCTCTGGGTGTTTTGGAGGTGTCTATGTTTGCTTTTCAGCTTTTGGTTCTTTGGGGGAGTTGCCTCGTCCTGCACAATGGAGACTACGGCAAGGAGATGGAGTTGGGATTCCCCGGTTCCTCCTCCCGTTCTTTCCCCAATGCCTCCGTTTCTAGTCTCCCCTCAGTTGCCTCTGGGCAGTTCTTTGACCCCTTCGGCCAAGGATCCAACCCCTGTGCGGACTGCGTTTCAATCGCAGGCAGTCTGGTTCATGCGCGCCCTGCTTCTGCCTCTTTGGGGTCGCGCCTTTCCAGTCCACAATGGAGACTCCCGAACGGGGAGGGAGTCGGGACTCCCCAGTTCCTCTTCCTGTTCTTTCCCCAACGCCTCCATCTCCAGTCTCTCCTCAAGGCTCTCCCAGCCAGTCTGCACTCAGCCCCGTAGCTCACACCCGTACAAGCTGTGTGCAGAGAGCACAAAAGGCAGGTTAATTGATTCCCTTATGCCTGAGCGAGATGGTAGCTGCAGAGTGGGAAGTGCGTTATCACCCGGGCTCCACTGGCCGCCGTGTCAGTTCTCTTCACAAAGTTTTCCTCGCCATTCTTTTCCCAGGCACCAGCCCACCCTGCTGCCGCTCTACGCAGCGATCAAGGAGGGTGGCTGCTGCTGCAACTTTTGGTTTGCCCTTTAAATGTCTTTTTGCATCCCCAGCCACCTGTCTCTGGCAGAGAGCGCCCCTAAGCTTTTTGGGGTTGCGTTTTGTCTGTATTTTCTCAGCTTTAGCTGCTGTAGTTTAGGGGTTCCTGTTTATGATTCAGACACCGTTCTTCTCGGGGGGAGTTAACTGGCCCTTTCAATGTCCCTCTGATGCCAGTGCCTGTGGGCACCCAGCCCACCCTCTCGAGCCTCCACCGCAATTCTCACCCTTTGGGATGTGTGAGAGTAGAATCCACTGTCCACGGCACCAAGGCTCCTCTCCCACTATCGCTCCACTGCTTTCCAGGTGATTACTCCATTATTTAGTTGCAATTCCAGTTTGGTTTTGGGAGGAGGTCAGCGTGACTCCCTTTCACTCTTCCTCCATCTTTCCAAATCTCCTTCTGCTCTTAAATTGATCTGTCTTGACTTCCTGACTTTGTGGTGTGAACTTCTATGGTAGGAGACTTGTGAGACTCAGTGGTTCAGTCTCCTTGATCTCCTGAACTTGCTGCTCTTTGGATGCCTTTTATGCCATTTATTTTGGCTCTCTGGAAGTAATTGGGTTTTGATTGTTGTTTAGTCATTCTTTGGTTTGTCTTTCCCTCCATCTGGTTGACTAAAGGTTACTCTACCCGCCATGTCTTGTGTGTTTTTGTGCAGGTGCTGCCAGAACAAAACAACAAAGTCCAGGAAACAAACCCACATCTCCCAAAATAACTCTCCCCTGCAATCCCACTATCAACAACAAATGAACCAGTATTAATAGGGCAGTAAAGAGATTAAGACTTTTATAAGAAGAGAAATAAGCTATTAGTAGAAAATCTAATGACTTAATATGCACAAACTTGATGGATGTGAAATGAAAAATAAAAGCTATGTGGCAAAGAAAGTATCCCAAATCATGCAGAAGACTACAGTGGATTTTGCCTCAATAGCCTCTAGTATTTATTGCTGTTTTTTCTTTCTGGATATGCCTCTGGTGATGTCAAATGTTGACCCTGTCTGACCTTAGACAGTCTGAGACTTCCAGGAATCTACTGTCTGTGGTTGTCTCCTTCAGTTGTTAATCTAGTCACTCTGCACTCAGCAGTCAGACTTAGTCACCACAGGGCAGGACAGAATCCTTCCTGGTGTCAGAGCTATTGTTTTCCCTGAGGCTGCTGCTGTTCAGGAGAGTGATCTTTCCTTTACCAGGGCTAATGGAAATCTGGCAATGCCCTCTGGGTATAGCCATGCTGTTGCAGATGGCAAGATTTCATTCTTTTATGTGGCCAAGTCATATCCCATTGTATATATGCACCACTTCTTTATCCACTCATCTATTGATGGACACTTACGTTATTGTCTTTCTTTTCTAAATTTTTTTAATTGAGACAAATACAGTTGTCTCCATTTCCCCCCCCACTGTCTCCCACCACACCCACACCCACCTCCCACCCTCAATCCTATACCCCTTTGGCTGTGTCCATGGGTCCTTTATACATGTTCCTTGATGACCCTTCTCCTTCTTCCCCCCATTATCCCTCTCCCCCTCTCCTCTGGTTACTGTCAGTTTTTCTTTATTTCAATGTCTCTGGTTATATTTTGCTTGCTTGTTTGTTTTGTTGATTAGGTCCCACTTATAGGTGAGATCATATGGTATTTGTCTTTCACCACCTGGCTTATTTCACTCAGTATAATGCTCTCCAGTTCCATCCATATCATCCTCTTCACATCTCAACTCCTTGTACCTACACCTGTTCATGTTTCTGGAGAACTAGATGATACTTGAAATGCTTTTGGACATGGGTGGTCCATGGCCATACCTGGAGAGTCTAAAAATTCAGCTGAAAGTGTACCAATTCCACTGTCATCTAACTGCATGTAGTCTTCTGCCAATGAGCTAAAGCCAGTTAATCCTTCCATTGTTGCATAATAAACATCTCTTCCCACTGGTTTTCCTTGAGCCAGTCTTTCTTGCTTAGTTTCCACTACTGTGTCATAGGCATATGCACACTGACCACAAGCACAAGTGAAGCCACTATGGAATCCTGAACACATGGGACAAGCATTGCACATAAAGCCAGGCATCGCACTGTGCTGATCAGCAAAGTGCTTGCAGTTGCAGCGAATGCACTGGTCATCATTCAAAGGGACATAACTGTAAGCCCTGCACTGGCAGCAGGTCACTTGGCAAGACAGACTAATGGGGTGCTCCTGTGGAACTGTTTCAAAGTCAGTTTTATGTTGCTTATACCTATAGGTTCAGTAATTTTCCCATGAAGCAGCTTTGTCCTTCGGAGCTTTACAACTGTGACCTTTGTGTACAAAAACACAGTGTCTCTGGACCCACTAGTTTACAGTCTATTCCAATTGGTGATTGCTAGCTCATGAACAACTTATTCTGTAAGCTCATAGGTAAAAATTTTCTTTTGTATTTTTCGTATTCTTCAGGAGTAACAAGTTTTCCTCCATCATCTTCACCCACAACTCTGTGGTACTCCAGGTAGTTGTCTACAGCTGCGATGCCTCTGGGAGGCAACAGGCAGCAACTCCATGGCCTACAAAAAAGCAAAGGTTCCAGCTCCATGTGCTCTGAGACATCCATGAACTAGAGCAGACTCCAGAGGAGGCCAGTGTAGTTTCTTAAAAAAAAAAATAGCTAACACTTATATAGTTCTTATGATGTATCAAAAAGTATTCTATGAATTTTATACATTAACTGATTTAATCTAGAACAATCTTTTGAGGTATTATTATTTTTATTTTGTTATTACTTCCTTTTTGCAGATGAGGAAACTGAGGTACGAAGAGGTTAAATAAATTCAAACTAGTCACTATACTATTCTTATTAAGGCAGAACATTGTAGAGAGCTGTTATTTTTAAACAATAATTGAAAGAAAACATGTAATAAATTTGAATGTCAAACTATCTCACCTTAAGCATCCAGCCTAACTGAGATTTAATAATCTAATCTGAATTTTTTTTTTGCTTAAACAAATACCCATTAAAGCCATATCCAAAGGAAAATAAATTGTAGAGTGTGTTGAATTTTTTAATATATTTTATTGATTATGCTATTACAGTTTTCCCAATTTTCCCCTTCCCCCCCTCCACCTGGTATCACTCATTTCCTCTGACAATCCCCCTCTCCTTAGTTCATGTCCATGGGTCCTCTATATAAGTTCTTTGGCTACTCCATGTCCTATACTGTTCTTTTTTTAAACACCCCCCTGTATATCCTGTACCTACCAATTTGTACTTCTTAATCCCTGCATTTTTTCTCTCATTCTCCCTCTTCCCCCTCCCACTGATAAGCCTCCAAATGATCTCCATATCTATTATTTGATTTCTGCTCTGCTTGTTCACTCAGTTTGTTTTCTAGATTCAGTTATTGACAGCTGTGAATTTATTGTCATTTTAATGTTCATAGTTTTGATCTTTTTCATAAATAAGTCCCTTTACCATTTTATATAGTAATGGCTTGGTGATGATAAAGTCCATTAGCTTTATCTTGTTTGGGAAGCACTTTATTTGCCCTTCTATTCTAAATTATAGATTTGCTGGGTAGAGTATTCTAGATTATAGGTCCTTGCTTTTCATAACTTTGAATACTTCTTGACAGTTCCTTGTAGCCTGCTAAGTTTCTTCTGAGAAATCAGCTGACAGTCTTATGGGAATTTCTCTGTAGGTAACTATCTGCTTTTCTCCTGCTGCTTTTAAGATTCTTTCTTTATCTTTAACCTTTGGCATTTTAATCATGATGTGTCTTGGTGTAGTACTCTTTGGGTCTATCTTGTTTGAAATCTTCTGTGCTTCCTGCATTTGTATGTCTATTTCTTTCACCAAATTAGGGTAGTTTTCTTTCATAATGTTTTCAAATAAGTTTTTAATTTCTTGCTCTTTCTCTCCTCCTTCTGGCAACCTTATGGTTCACATGTTGGTATGTTTGAAGGTTTCCCAGAGGCTCCTTAGCTTATCCTTGTTTTTCTTCTTGCTGTTCTGATTGAATGTTTTTTCTTCCTTATGTTCCAAATCATTGATTTCATTCTTGGCTTCATCCACTCCATTGTTAGTTCCTTGTAAAGTTTTCTTTATTTCACTTAGTGTAGCCTTCATTTCTGCCTGCGTCTTTTTTTATACTGTTGAAGTATCCAATGAATTCCTTGAGCATCCTAATAACCAGTGTTTTGAACTCTTCTTCTGATAGATTGCTTATCTCCATTTTGTTTAGTTCTTTTTCTGGAGTTTTGTTCTATTCTTTCATTTGGGCTATATTTCTTTGTCTCCTCATTTTGGCAGCCTACCTGTGTTTGTTTCTATGTATTAGGTAGAGCTGCTTTGATTCCCTGTCTTCATAGTGTGGTCCATTGTAGAAAAGTGTACCAGTAAGTTGGATGTGTATGAGCCTTAGGTAATCGCCAGGGTGGGGGATGCCCATGGGAACCAGGTTAATGGAGTCTCCAATATGGTGTGGGCTACTCTGTGGCTTTGTCGGGGGGAGGTTTCAGGAAGGGGACAGTGCTGCTTCCTGGCCTTTGTAGTTTTGTCTAGGAGGAAGCTGTCTCTGAGCACTTGACCTGCTGCCAAACACTTCAATTTCTCCCCATATGCCACTGGAGCCCTTCTAGCTGCTGCCCCAGTGTTGGAGGCCAGAGAGAGTGAGTCTGCTTAAGTCCTAAGTCCATTGTGGGTCCTTTAAGAGGAGATACCTGAGAATCCTGCAGTTTCTTGTGCTGCTCCAACGTCCACTGGATTTTACAGCCAAAAGTTAATGGGGGATTTATCTTCCTGGCACTGGAACCCTAGGCTATGGTCTGGTGTGGGGCTGCAATCTCTTGCTCCCAAGGTAACCCTTCCTATTTTTATCCACCACATGTGGATATGGGACCACCCATTCATGTCTCCATGTATTTCCACACCTCTGCCTCTCCAACACTCCTACCTGTCTGGATGAATGTGACTTCTTTAATTCCGTGGTTGTTGGATTTCCATACAGCTTGATTTTCTGACTATTCTTGGTGATAGTTGTTTTGTAGTTTAGTTGCAATTTTTGCTGTGGTTGTGTGAGGAGGTGAACCATATTTACTTATGCCTCCATCTTTAGTGGAAGCTGAATTTTCTTAAAAAACTACCGCTGATTTATAATCAGCCAGTCTAGTCCTCTTCTCTGGCTTTCAGAACATAAGCTAATACACCTGCTTCTATGCTAAAGTGGAATATTGGTTCCTTCTTGCATATTCCCAAAGAAATCAGGGGAATTTGGCCAAGTGTTTACTAGAATTTCCTTGTGTGCATCTTCTCCCAAATGTATGCAGATCCCCTTTATACAAAGGCCCAATTTCAATTATTTACTTCTTGCCACAACACGTATCAGATGAACCTTATGTCCTATCTCACATATGTATAAGTCTGTACCTCAGCCAGCTGGACAGACAGTTTGATTAATATTTTGCCTATATTTAACTCCGATCTCTTTGAGATAACTGCAAGCCTCTATGTAATGCCCAGGAAAAGGCATTCTGAAAGGTGGCAATAACATCAGCAACTATGTATTTGCTTGAACAGACAAACTACTGCACTAACAATCTTGTATGTTCTCAAAGACACATGAGTAAACTATCTCCCAAAATTAAAGGTAATGTTTAAAAATAGCAATGATTAGAGACTTCAAGATGGCAAATGACTGAGTGGAAGTCACACTGACCTCCTCCCAGGACCAATCTGGAGTTACAACTAAACTGTGGAGAAATCATCTGTAAAACAACTGAACAGAAGTGAGAGAGAAGCCTTAAAACCTCAGACAGACAGAGATCTCAGCTTCAAAACAAGCTAACTGGTAAGGAGTGCGGTAGAGACTAAAGAAGGTGGGCGGGGCACCAACGGGCTGTAATGACAGAGGGATATTGAAATGGCCAGGTGGATCCCCCTGAGAAGAGTGGGGTCTAAATGATAAACAGGGATCTCCAGCCTACAGCACCACTGCAAAAAAAGCACACAGATAACAGCCAGCTGTGAAAAGCAGCAGTGTGCTCTCTGCCTGAGACAGGTGACTGGAAACACAAAGAGCCATTTAAAGGGCCAACAAAAAAATTTGTAGTGGCAGCCACTTTCCCTGGACTCCTGCAGAGGTGGGGGCAGAGTAGGCTGGAGACGTCTGAGGAGAGACTGGAGAAGAAGACTTGGGGAAAAGAACTGAAAAAGTGGATGCTGAGGTTCCAGTGCTGACTCATGCCCCGTTCTGCAGCTGCCATCTTGCACAAGCAGACCACTCCCCTGAGTGGTAGCAGTGTGAAAGGACACAATAGGCACGCTCCCAGTAAGATCGGCCCCCATCCAGTGTTGTGCAGGCCCAGGTGTTGAGTACAGAGTGGAACTCACACATACTAGGTCTCTGGCTAGAGGGGTCGCAGAGTGGTCTGGAAACAATTGATGAAACTCTGGAGGCAGAGACATTGGGGAGGGAACTGGGAGTAGCTGTGGGGTATCTGAGTGCTGACTCCTCGCCCATATGGCAGTAGCCACCTTGCTCAAGCAGACCACTACCACAAGAGGCAGCAGCATGAAAGGACACAATAGCCATGCACAAAGGAGGGACTCTGCCCTGCCCTGACTTCTGAGGGCAGAATGACTGTATTAACAACTGGAGGAGACAGACACAGACAGTGGATTCCTGAAAGTCTCGTAAACACTGCCTAAGGTCAGACAGAGTCAACAGCTGACATCATCAGAGGCAGATCCAGAAAGAAGAAAGAAAGTAAGATAGATAGAAAGATAAGAAAGAAAGAAAGATAGATAAAAAGATAAGAAAGAAAGAAAGAAAGAAAGAAAGAAAGAAAGAAAGAAAGAAAGAAAAAAGAAAGGAAGGAAGGAAGGAAGGAAGGAAGGAAGGAAGGAAGGAAGGAAGGAAGGAAGGAAGGAAGAAGGGAAGAAAGAAAGAAAGGAAGAAAAAGAAGAAAGAAGGGAAGGAAGGAAGGAAGGGAAGGGAAGGGAAGGGAAGGAAGGAAGGAAGGAAGGAAGGAAGGAAGGAAGGAAGGCAGGCAAAACAGTGCTCTCCTACAAGAGAAGTTCACACCACAAAGTCAGAAAGTCAAGACAGATCAATTGAAGAAGCAGAAGCAAAAAAGAAGACTCTCACAAATAAGGGGAAGAAAAAAAATGCGCCAAACTAAAGGAAATGAGGAATCCCCAGAATGGGAACGAAAAGAAATAGAGGAAGTAAACTATCATATATTGAATTCCAAACAATGGTTCTAAGCTAGCTCAATGAGCTCAGTGAGCTCAAAATGAATTACCAAAAACTACAAGGAAACTATAAGGAACTTATTGGAAACTATATGAAAATGAAAAAAGACATTGAAACTATCAATAAGAGGCAAGAAGAAATGAAGAAAACAATTTCTGAATTGAAGAATATGGTAGAAGGAATTAAAAGCAGGCTAGATGAAGCAGAGGATTGAATCAGTGAGCTAGACAACAAGATTGAAAAGAGATCCCAGAAAGTGCAAGAAAATGAAAAGACTCAAAAAGAATGAAGAGATGTTGAGGGAAATGCAGGACAACTTGAAACGCAATAATATCCATATAATAGGGATAGTAGGAGAAGA